AATGACGCCCCCACGTTCACAAGGACCTCCCCTACTAGCAACTAGCGTTCTTGAACCCGCGGGGCAAAGCTAGGTTTGCGCTCGTGAAGCCGGCCGGCAGCCTGTGTGGAAAGCAGTGCTCGCCACCTTGGCGGGGGGCCGGGGCTTGGCCGGGCGCTGTTGAGTCGTTCTCCGCAAAGAAATTAAGGGTCAGATCCCACTACCCTGCATTATTCATTTTTCACCCTCGATTACGAAGATCAACGGTCAGAAATGAACAATTGGGGCTAGTGGGATCTCGCCCTTACACTCCATCGTAAAATAAAAGCGGCCTGTACTTGTGCGTGGACGGTCAGATTGATCGTGGGGTAAGGGGAAGAACATATAGCCGTCCGATAATTCGCAGCCTGAGGCTGCGGTTCTAGTCCTAGTTCGCAGCCCTTAGGCTGCGGTATAGTGTGCTTCCGCGTCTGTGTCAAGGTGTAGCATTTTCGGTGGCGGGTGACCAGGACGCAAAGTGGGTTCTTAGGGGACAAATGTTTTTTGGGAACCGGTCCTTGGCAAAATTGCAGACTACCTACAGCTAGCTCTTCTAGAACCGGGACTTCGGAAAAAGGAAGGACTGGTCCTCGGGTGGAAGTGGACCCCCAAAAGAAGTGGGGGGCGTTGGACCGGTCCCCAGGTAGAAGCGGACCCCAAAAAGAAGTGCAGGCATGTGAACTGCAAAAGGGCCCTCAGGCCCAGGCATTGAGCCCCGTCTTCTCAAAACAGGGAGGTCAGGCACAACGAAATAGGCAGTTTGCAAGAGGCAACTTTGGCGATTTTCTGTGCTCGGACGAACATGCACAAAAATCTGAAATTTTTAGAATCCATAGATGAGGTCGTGTTCTTTCCAGAAATAATAATAGGACATTTACAAAAAATCATTTACACTGCAAAATAATCGCCGCGCCGATTAGGCACATTTTCCATTTTTGCTACTCAGCCATGCCTGGCCCAACTAAAAAAGTACTCCAAATTCAGTGAGCTTTCACGCTCAGAAAAATGCGTGAAAAAACCTGAAAATTGGAGTACTTGTAGATTTTGTTGTGATCTTTCCAGGAAAAACGCTAAATAAATTTAAAAAAATCATTCCAACTGCAAAATAGATCGCGGCCGCAATTTGACCCATATTTCAATTATGCCATTCAGTCTCTCTCTCTCTCTCTCTCTCTCTCTCTCTCTCTCTCTAGAGTAGTCCCCCCCCCTCTCTCTCTCTCTCTTGGTAGGTCCCCCCCTCCCTCTCTCTCTCTTTCTTTCTCTCTCTCACACTCATAACAATAAATGGAACAAAACTCTCTCTCTCTCTCTCTCTCTCTCTCTATCTATCTATCTATCTTGTGTTAGCTCTTAGTCTCATTGACTTGGCTACCTTAGGGCTGCGTTCCCCGCGCCCACGCGGTAGACGATGGTCTGGTACCCCGAAGCCCTAAATCCGTGGGGTGTTAATGGGAAAACGCCTCGGTCGATAGCTGGGCCAAGTACTGGTGGTTTAAGACGGGTTGATAGGGTAGGGGTACATTTGCCAGACCCCCATGCCGCATCCGAAAAAGTCCCATGCCCAGTTCCGGTATCTGTGATTTGTAAAATTTGGACCCTTTCTCGATTTCCGCGTGTCATCATTGAGAAAGCGTATGGGCCATGCCAATGTTTTCTTTTCTTTTTTTTTTGTCTTTTTGTCTTTTGCCATGCTAATCTTCATTCTCTGTATCGTTCGAGTCTTTTTAACGGATGTCCCGAAGGACAAATCACGCCTATTTCGCCTCCCCGTTGGCCCCCGCTCGCCAGGCCAACGAAAAACAGCCTGAAAAAACAAAGAAAAGAAAACGTCAGCCGGCTTATATTTAGCTGGCCGTGGACACATCCGTGATCACGAATGCGGATGGCATAGGTTGCATGGTTCCCATTGCACTTATTTTGGTTAAAAAAAAAGATAAAAAAAGAAGATAAAAAGTACCGTTTCTCGATTTATGCGTGTCATCCTTTATGCGTGTCATCCTTACGTGCGCAGGGGCCATGCTAATCTTCTTTCTCTGTATCGCTCCGATCTTTTTAACGGATGGCCCCCTAGGACGCTGTTAAGATATTTGAGGGCAGGTTGTCGATGCTGAGTACTCTGCATTCGGTCGTGAATGTACGACATTGTTACAAGCGATTTCGTGGAAGCAATCATATACAACAAGCAAAAGAAAAACACGAGAGGGAGAGAGATGGGGAGTGACCCTGGAGTGTTATACATGGTTTCCAGGCAATTTCCTTGAAACAAGGCAGTGTAAGCAGGACAGGAATTAAAAAGTGAGGAGGTCATCAATGTAATACCTTTTACCAATTGAAAGGCCAAAACTAGACCTGTGGGGATGAACTTGGGCATCTGAAAGCTCATGTGCGGATCGTGAACCTGGTTACCTGCACAGCCAGGTGCATTCCACCTGGGAAAGATCTGGCATTTCCAAGCCGGAGAGGACTGTGCATGTACCTATCCAGCCTCCCCCCCCCCCCCCCCCCCCCCCCCCGCAAATTGCTCTGGCCCACAGGGGGAAAAGATATAAAGGGGGGGTCTATCTGGGCTTAACAGAACATGAATTTGATGCTGTGCAGGATGCTGTTTGCAATGAAAAGATACAGAAAAGAATGACTGTGATGACTTCTCACTTAGGGCCGCGCTCCACTACTCTACGCTCGATATGCACAAACGACAAAAATCATGGCTGTGTATCTTTCCATGTTCTGGCGAAAATCATGGCTGTGTATCTTTCCATGTTCTGACGGAAGCTCCACTCTCGTTTTGCACATATTGAGAGTAGTGGAGCGAGGCCCTGAGGCCCTTAGTAGGCCCTTAGTTGGCCCTTAGTCGGCCGGCCCTTAATCAGCCCTTAGTCTCCACAACTCCGCCGCATCCCCTTTGTTGTCTCAAGCTGAATAAGTGTAAGAAGGCAGGAAAGAAACAGGATAGGAGCGGAGAACATTTCTATATAGTCTCTGTTCTTACCCTAATTAGATAATAATCTGCGTGGGCAATGACAGAAGTGGGGGATCTTTGTTTTTTTGTTTTTTTTGAAGTGATGGTGGTGCATTTCCGCGGCCGCTGATGTGTGTCCAAATTCGGCCTCGTCTCCAAATCGGATTTGGTGGTCTCACCAAAGAGGGTCTGTGGGGTATTAATGGGGTCGCAAGGGGCTTAAACGGGGTGTAGTGCGCAGCTAAAAAATGTTAGATTCCGCGTTCTGCATCAAGTGTTTTTTTTTTTTTTCAGGTGTTTTTTTGTTTTGCGGCGCTGTGGCTGACCGGGACCTCTGGCCAGCCCTGGCCTGGCTGGGCCATCTGGGCCAGACAGAGGCAGGCGGGACGGCCTGGCTGGTAGCCTAGGCGGAAAGGTCATTTTGTGCTGGCATCACCAGTTCCGCTGAGCCTCTTTTTCCCATTGATTTCTCGAACTGGCGCGGGCGCAAGATCTTTGTTTTTTTCTCTCGCGTCACCCACGTTCACACCCCTGTGTTAACCCAAGCCCCTATTAACCCAAGCCCCTGTTAACCCGGCATGGGGTCGGAACAAATAGCTGGGAAGGTGGTTTAACACTGGTCATGCCTTAAATGTTTGTTAGATCTGTTGGATCTCCCAATTCTCACATATCCCATCTACTTGCTAATGAATCACACGAAAAGAAGAAAAGACTGGTCCTGAAGGCCGTCTTGTACTGGTCATCCGGGTGCACTTCTATCTGATGATAACCTGACTTTAAATCTATCTTTGAGAAATACTTACGGCCCTGCCCTCGGCCTAAGAGATCATCTATCCTGGGAAGTGGTTCTGCTTTCTTTATGGTTATGGCTTCAAAAAAAAAGCACCAGCAAGTTCGGAAGGACGAAAACGAAAGATGAGAAACGGTTTGGAAAATTATTACTAAATACGCACCCAACATATCCCACGCTTGTCGTGGCATAAAAAGAATCAAAACGAGAGAAAAGAAACCCCAAAAATGGCATATGTAACCTGCCAGCCGAATGTCTCGGTCTCACAGGCAGGGAAGGGGAGTGAGAGGGCCTTTCGCACGGCCTTCAAGGTGTCAGGGGGCCGTGAGAAAGGGCCTCATTCAATGCCAATTGCAAGTACCTGAAAGTCAAGTGCCGTACTTGAGCCCAAATGCTGCTAATTTATGCCAACACACAATTTGCCGTTCCAGTCCACTCTTGAAACAGCCCTCAAAGAACCCACTCATGAATGATTTGTCTGTGATTCACAGCGCGAAAAGCCCGTTGCTGCGGTCGTGCAAACTCAAGTCGCCAGCTCTTCCACCCTTTTCAAAAAAATCAAAGTCGCCAAGGAGGAGACTAAAAATCTTGAAATGCCCCTTGGGGACCTATTCTGGGTGCTCCAGACTGGAGAGCGGACCTGGACAATGGTAGCTGTATGGGCATCGAGCATCTGGCTTGGAGCCGTGTGAAGAGCAGAAAAGAAGGAAAATGAAGAAGAGGTCATCTCTGTCAAGGAAAAGAAGGGTAGGAAAATAATTTCCTATCTACGTTATGAGCCTGCCTGGTGGGGCACACCCGCGTCAAATTAGTATAAACGGGTTTTAAAGGGGCTCAAATGGGTACATCCCAACTCTCATTTTTCTGTTTTATTTTTATCTCGACTTGAAAGTGACTCTTAGCCAAAAGCTGTTTCGTTTTGAGTCTTTTGACACAACATATATGGTTTTTTTTTTTCTTTTTTTTCTTTTTTAAAACGACATATATGTTTTGGAGATTTTGATTACAGGTGACGTGATGTCCGAGTATATAATGAGAAAGATGTGGAGTTTGTTTCTCCTCTGTGTTTTTGGTTTTTGTTGTGCTGCTTGATGTGCGTACTGTGACAATATATAGAATGAATAATCTTTTCTGTCCTTGTTGTCCCCCYCCCCCCCCCCCCCCCCCCCCCTTTTTTTTCCCCCCCGCCTTTTTTGGTGTATGTGTGTCTCTTGTTACGGTGTTTTGATGCAGCACTGTTCTGGTGTGAACGCATTGTTGTTAGCTAATGAATATGGGAGGCCTGCGGAAGGCGGTGAGATATCAGAGCTGGATGTGGATGCAGAGGTGCTTTTCAGTGCGGGAAGGGACGGGACCGTAAAGAGGTGGACGGTCAATGGTGCTGCTGCCGCCGAGTGTAGCATGACATTTGAGTCTCATGTGGATTGGGTGAGGAGTTCTTTCTCTCTTTTTTCTGCTCCAATGCATGCTCTTCTCTTTGAAGTCAACGTTCCCCCGGTGTTTTCTTTCAAAGTTCTTTTCCTTTTCTTTTGCAAGTATGAGAGAGAGAGAGAGAGAGAGAGAGAGAGAGAGAGAGAGAGAGAGAGAGCACTGTGGTGTTGTTTTTTCTTTTCTCGCAATTCTGTCTTATTATGTGTTTCACATTGATGCAGCTATCAGATGTCTCGTGTGTTTTCACATTGATGCAGAGCTATCATCTGTTTTGTTGCATCTCTTATCTTGGTGTATTCTGTTTCTTTTTTTTTTGTGAAAGGAAGCCTAACCTGCAACGATGAGATTGTTTACCCGTTTCAAGTCAATGCAGTCTTTGTGTGAGTGGTGCCGCTTGTGAAATTGTATATAGAGCAAACATAATTGTGGCCGGGAAAAGCAAAAATATTGGATCCAGTGGCTCCAGTCTCTGAGTCCAGGATCTGGAGGTGCGAGTCCGCTATAACCCGTCAGAAACACTACCGCCGTCCTCGCCCGAACGCAATGCATCTGCATTATGACTGCATCCAACCGGAAAGATGGCTTGTATACATTCAGAATCAGGGTGCGTTCTGTTCGGGGAAGGACAGTAGGCATGCTTTAGCGACTGAGTCGTCAACCTCTGGGGTTGCTCTGAATGCGGGGCCGACAAAATAGCTGCGGAGACGTTCTTGGTATGGAAGTGAAACACAAAAGAGAACAGGGAGAAAATGGATCTCTTCCCAACTTCTTTTCCTGCTGCGTGCCTACCTCTCCTTTTAGAGACAAGGGAGAAGAGAATTTGCCATCTGTCGATAGACAAGACAAGGAAGTTTTTTTTTTTTTTTTTTTTCCAAAGACAAAAGGGCTCAGCTATTCTGGGGGGTAGCAGTCCAATTGCTCATTACCGGCAGGCAAGTGAGTTTACAACAGAGAAGGCAAAGAGACAGAGACTAAATGAGACCAGCCTAAGACTCCTGCCTGCCGCATGAGACGCTCCACAGGGGGGGGGGGGGGGGGGGCAGGGGGGTTGCGCTGTGGTCCCTCACTTATTCTCTTTACTGCGGCTCCCATAATGGCCGGTAAACGACCACTGTAACCAGGCGTCCGTCATGGGGGCCCTGGAGGGCCGGTACTGAACCACAGGGCAGCACCACCTGTCACTAGGCCACCATCCTCAGTATCTCCAACCACCCATCCCAAGTCCATTTACCTAAATCGCCCCCCACACTTATCCCTTTTTATCCCTTCATGCACCATCACAAAGTTCTCCCCCTAAGTCAGCCTGGGTACATTCACCTACTCACAGCATCCACTAAGTAGATCTATTTCCCCCAATTCTTCCCCCCCCCCCCCCCCCCCCCCCCCAACACACACAACCTTTTCCCTTTATTATCTTCTTCTCATCTCTTTTTCATTGTCATCCTTCTTTTTCTTTTTCTCTTCCCTTTTCTTTCCTATAACCCCCAACTGTTCTTTTAACGACCATTTTTCGTGAACCTTCTGTTTGCCGGGGCGTGGAGTTCCGATACCTTGGGGCTTGGTTGGTAGCAAGAGCCTGAATTTTTGTTCGCGACTGACCCTTGGCTGAGCTTCAAACACGCAAGATGGTTGATTTAATGCTAGGCGTCTATTCTTGGCCTATGTCTTGGAGAACGAATTTCAGGATTTCTGTTCGGTCTACGATTGGCATAGAAAGGTAATTTGCTGTGTGTGTGTGTGTGCAATGGGTGTGTGATTTCAGGTGAACGACATTGTGCTGATTGGTTCGGACACTCTTGTCTCATGTTCTTCAGACATGACTATTAAGGTAAACTGGGTGCTTCTCTTCCAACTGTGAACGTGTGTTCGTGGTCTGCTTCAGGTTAGCTGAAGGAGATAAGGGGAGGGAAGGGGGTTTGAGAAGACGAGGGGCCAGAGTATTTTCCGATCTTCATGGAAGACCTGCTGTTGCTGTTTTCGATCTTTGGTCCGGTCTTCTGTTCCAGTTGTGTCATGGTTTCTGATTGCTTCCATTTCTATTTCTAGAAGTTCAACATGCACTTGCTCTTATGAATTTTGCTTTTAATTTTTTAAACCTGTTTTCTTTCCGTTTTTCTTCCCCCCCCCACCCGCAACACCCTTTGCTGCCCAGCGAAGTCGGACAGATCTTCTAGTGTCTCTGAAACTTACGGTGTGCATGTCGAGTCGAGCAGGGAGGTGAAACGGAGCTTGAACTGGTGGAAGGAGGAATGACAGATCGTTCTCGCCCTTCCCTTTTCAGCCTTTTCCTTTTACGTCCCTCCCTTTCTCCCTTTGTTCTCTTGCTGCTCCATGCTGCTTTAGCTCCTGCGCTTCTTACCCCCTCTGCCTTCTATATTCCTTCCTGTTTGACCCATGTTCTTCTCCTCACACATGAACCTTGGGTGTGAGGCGATTGAATTTGTTCTCCGAAAGGTGATGTTGTGGCGAGTTGATGTGCGCAAGGACATTAGTCAGTGCATCCTTGACAGGCTGTCGAGGTTCAACCGCCTGCTGAGCCGGTGAAAACCCGACAAAACTGGATGTCGCAGTCATGCCTTTTTCCTCTAGACTTCATGTCAAGAGAGCACACGTGGATTTTGTCTGTCTCAGGTTTGTGTCTGTTTGTGGCAAGTATGAGGAACAGCTGATAGACAAAGAGGACGTGGTTGTGTTTTCTGTGTGCACTTCATTGCATGTGCGTGTGAGTGTGTTTGTGTGTGTGTGTGTGTGTGTGTGTGTGAGAGAGAGAGAGAGAGAGAGAGAGAGAGAGAGAGAGAGAGAGAGAGCTCTTACAAATCCCTACATATTATGGCACACTGTCAAATAACTATTTGCCTTTTGCAAGCGGGGCTCAAGTTGAGCAAGCAGTTCAACAAATTCCAATGGATAAGAAAGCTCTCCGGTGACTACGTGCCTTTTTACATGCGAAGTTGCCTACTGGCACGGTTCTGAGATGGTGAGGACAAGCTTTTCCAGATGCCTCTGGAGTTGGGGTCATCGTCAGTGGTTTTCCATTAGATGTCTCACTCGGATCAGCCAGTGTTCGGTTGTTTGTTCTGAGCACGCATGCTTAGATGATTGTTGAACTGCAGCGGTCGTCTGTTGTTATTTGTCCATGGGAATTTGTTGTTTGTTCTGAGCATGCGTTCTTGTTCTTAAATGTTGTTGATTTGCTCCGAGTTGCCTGAAAAAGCCAGAGCTTGCCCAAAGAGAACAGCAAGATCTGCTGTTCTCGGTTTCATAGCTTGTCTGGCTTTGGAATCTGATGTGCGAGGAAAGGTACAAGGTCGTCTGCGTGCGGAATTGTGGTTGTGACAGTTTTTTTTGCGATTGGGAGTGAAAGAAAACTGATGAGAATACTTTTTTTGGGTGTTATGCTTTGTGAACTGTAGACATGGCGTGCATTTTCGTCAGAGGGTTCGAAAGGAGAGTGCACACGCACACTGCGACAACACTCGGACTATGTGAAGGCTCTTGCTGCAGCTCGTCAGGTAGGTGTGTGCAAGTCTTTCACCTCGATGGAGGGTCCTTTAAGCCCGAATTTTCTCCACATCAATCTCTACTAGTGTGTTCCCGAAAAAAGCTGAAAGTCCTTGTCACAGACAGTGGAAAGCTGTGGCCAACCGGCCCCCCCCAGAAAAAAAAAAGTTGAAAAACTCTTTGGTTGTACATGTGTGGGAGAAAGGTATCAATCATGGGTTGATTTTGGTAACCAATGAAGTTAATGAATGATTATATATATGCAGAGGAGAAAGCCCAGGTTTTGTAGCACGTTCCAACGAATTGCAGCGAATTGTGAATGAGGAACTTCTCAATCTTCATGTATCCGGTGCTGGTGCTGGTGCTGCTGCTGTGTTGCAGACAAACCTTGTTGCGTCAGGTGGATTGAGGTGTGAGGTCTTTGTTTGGGACTTGGAAGGCTCAACTGTGCCCGTTGCAAGGGCACCGATGAACGATGGTGCCTCTCCAATGCACGACAGCGGCGCGTATGCAGGAGCAGGAGGTATGGGGGTGTTGGGTATGCCGGCGGGAAACTCTGTGCACTCTTCATCAGCCCAAGATAGGAGTGGCTGCATGGGAGCAGGGTATAGTGCGATCACACGGACTCCTGTTGCCTTCAAGGGGCACAAGGAATCGGTGTATGCGTTAGCAATGAATGATGATGGAACGGTACTCGCTTCCGGTGGCACTGAGAAGGTTAGTTCTATGTCCTACTATCTGGCTGCATCCTCTGTCTTCCCTTGCACCCCCCTTCCCTGCAGACTCTGTGCAGAGTCCATATTAATGATTCTTTATATGGTTTCAGTTTCCTTAACCGAGGGCTCAGATGACATCTTGTGCTGTTTCTATTTATATAATTTTATTGCTTTGTTTCCTCCTCTTATCCTCCTCAGCTGTGTGCGATCCGCTCATAGATGACATCTTGTGCTGTTTCTATTTCTATTGCTTTGTTTCCTCCTCTTTTCCTCCTCAGCTGTGTGCAATCCGCTCTCTTGACATGAATGGTTAGTTGAATGCTCTGCATCTGGTTTCCAACCAACCGTTCAATAAAAATGACAGTTTTTTTCTTTTCTTTTTTTGGGGGGGGGTGATAGGGGGTTGGGGGTTGGGCGGGGGAGGAGGCGGGAAACCCTTGTCTCTCTCTCTGCAATGCGGGCACATGCAGCTCACACGCTTGGCCTGGGCCAGCTTGAGATGGTGTGGCAGAGTTGTGGCAGCATTTCTGACTTAATTCTGGAGATGTTGGACAATTTTTCTGCTTTTATTCTGTGCTCCTCTGCTCTTTGTTGGGGGGTGGGGGAGG